AAGCTCTTCACATGTTATTATTCACGTTTATTAAATGCTAGTCAGGTACGTAACACTTTCGAAGCGAAAAGTAGAAAAATAAAACACTAAAAGGAGGGCACAGAATTATTGTTACTAAGAACTAAGGTATAGTCACAATTTCGACAACTTTCCAATCTATTGCGGAAATAGGTGCAACTTTTGATAGGTTGCTGCCCAGCCACTCCGCCACTTGGGTGTGGCCTCCATCTGCGGCGAGCTGGGCGGGTGTGCGACCCTCGGCGTCGCGCGCGTCCCTGTCGGCGCCCAGCTCCACCAACCTCTTGACGGCCTCCAGGTCGCCACGGCGCGCCGCCTCGCCCAGTGGGGGCCGCCGCTCGCCGCGCCCCTCCCACAGCTGCAGGAGTCGCACCAGCTCCGCCGAGCTCACCGAGGCGCCCACCGTGTGCTCCCAGAGCACGTCGATGACCTTGCCCCGGGCCAGGTGCAGCGGGGTGAGGTCACCGTTGTCGCGCGGGTAGCACTGCGCCCCGGCCTCCAGCAGCAGTCGGGCCACGTCCTCGTGACCACGCTCTGCAGCGAAGTGGAGAGGAGCACGACCGTCCTCGTCTTGCACGTCGCGCTTGGCCCCAGCTTTCAGCAGAAGGCGGGCTGTGCCAGCGCGGCCCCTGTCGGCAGCGCGATGTAGGGGAGTCCTGCCGTGCCCGTCTAGCACGTCGCGCTGTGCGCTGGCCTGCAGCAGCATGCGGGCTATGTGTACGTGGCCATTGGCTGCGGCGAAGTGCAGAGGCGTCCAGCCTTTTACGTCACGCACGTCGCACTGCGCCCCGGCCCTCAGCAGCAGGCTGACTATCTCCACGTGACCCTGGAGGGCACCGAGATGCAGAGGAGTCCAGTCGTGTTCCGCCTTCAGGTCGTGCTTTGCGCCGGCCCCTAGCAGACGCGTGAGCGTTTCCACGAAACCCCGGGCCGCCGCAAAGTGCAGGGGAGTCCAGCCGATTTTATCAGACACGTCGCACCTCGCCCTAGCCCCGAGCAGCACGCCGACAATGTCCACGCGGTCCTGGAGGGCGGCGAGGTGTAGCGGGGTCAGTCCGATTTTACTATGACCTTCGCTCTGCGGCCCGCTCTCCAGCTTCAGCCACATGCTGACTACGTCGGTGAGAAGATTAACGACGGGCAGAGGAGCCCTCTCGCCGTCCGCCTGCGCCCCACCCACAAGGGCGGCTCGGAGCAGAGGCGTCCCGCCGCCGTCGTCCTGGGGCTTGACGTCGTCCTTGGTGGCGGCGGGGCGCGCCCGCACCTCGTCGGGCCCTCCCCGAAATGCAGCCATACAGGGGTGCTCGGTAATTGCCTGTAGTTCCAACAGTGTTTTTCCAAAGCCCCCCTCTGTAGTTCTCACAAGGATGCACCTGCATCCATGCAAGTCTCACAAGGAATGCCCGACGCGCTAAACCACGTCGCGTGGTGCGAACCCTGGGGTGGACTGCTGCTGCTGCTCGCACGGCCAACTGCCAACTGGACGCCTCCCTTCCCCTCCCTCCCTCTCTCTCTCTCTCTCTCTCTCTCTCTCCCTCTCCCTCTCTCTTTCTCCCTCCTCCGATCAACGTGTCGCCGGCAAGGGTCTCTCCCTCTCCGTCCCTCTCCCCGGCAGGGCGTTGCCAAAGTGGCGCCCGCGGCGGGAGAGCGGGAGAGTCGGTGAGGATGAGGATCAGGCCCGCCTGAGGAGGGCCGCGGCGGCCGGAAGCGAAGAGGTCCGGCTGAGGCTGGTCGGCCCGAGGGCCTGAGGCCGGCCCCGACAACATATGGCCCAG